GCCCAAAGCCCCCCATAGTCATTTTCAGCAGGGTCAGGGGGTACCTAAAGCCCCCCAAACCCACCTGCTTCAAGGTCAGGCAGTGCCTAGACCCCCACAAATCCATCTGCTTCAGGGGCAGGGGGTGCCCAGACCCTTCAAACCCATTTTTATCGGGGGCAGGGGGTGCCCAGACCCCCCACAAATTCATTTTCAGCAGGGTCAGGGGGTACCCAAAGCCCCACAAACCCATTTTCAGCAGGGTGAGGGAGTGCCCAGACCCCTCAAACTCACCCTCACCAGGCTCAGGGGGGTACCCAAAGCCCCCCAAGCCCACCTTCCACAGGCTCAGGGAGTGCCCAAACCCCCCTGGCACCTCCCTTCACCAGGCTCAGGGGTACCCACACCCCCCCAAGCCCACCTTCCACAGGCTCAGGGAGTGCCCAAACCCCCCTGGCACCCATTTTCACCAGGCTCAGATGTACCCAAACCCCCCAAATCCATTTTCAACCAGGCTCAGGGATACCCAAATCCACTTTCCCCAGGATCAGGGGTACCCAAACCCACCTTCACCAGCGGGCTCCGAGGGGTGGTCCCGGGTTCGGTGGTGGTCCCGGGCTCCGGGGGCTTCCCGGGAGGGCAGCGCAGCCCTGCGGGAACCCGCGGGCGCTGCCCCGCTCCCGTTAACGATTCCCCGCAAGAGCGGCGGCGGCGAAGCTCCGGGACACGTCCGGGGGCACTGCCCGGAGCCCGGCGGGCTGCAGGCGGCAGCAGCGGGACGAGCCCCGGGAGAGGACGGGGCGGAGCCGCTCCCGCATCCCGGTAGTGCCCGGAGGCCCAGCGGTATCTCCGCGATCCTTGCCCCGGGGGCCGCAAATTAATAATTAACAGCGGCCCGAGGGCAAAGCCAAGGTCGGGACGAACCTCTCCCGGTCGCGTCGTGCTCCCCATCCCGGTGCCGGTGCCAGCGGCGGGGATGTGGCCGTACGCGGTGGCCGTGCTGCTGGCGCTGCTCCTGCTGCGCCGCTGGCACCGGGAGCGGCAGCCGGTGCCGCGGCTCTCGGAGAAGCACGTGCTGATCACGGGATGCGACAGCGGCTTCGGGAAGCTGCTGGCCCGGCAGCTGGACGCGCGGGGGCTGCGGGTGCTCGCCGCCTGCCTGACGGACAGCGGCGCCGCGGAGCTGCGGGCGGCCAGCTCCGAGCGGCTGCACACCGTCCTGCTGGATGTCACCTGCAGCAAGAGCATCGCCCGTGTCGCCGCCTGGGTCCGGGAGCATGTGGGTGATCAAGGTAGAACGGGGGTGGTGCCCTTGTTGTCACCTCGTTGTCCCCCCTGGCTTGCCCTGGCTGGCTCAGGGCAATCACGGCTCTGGGATTAATTGCTGCCTGGCCAGAGGTGCTTTGAGGTGCTTCTCTGGCGACATCCATCTGCCATCAGCTCCTGCAGGAGTGCCGGCCGGGCAGAGAGTTCAGCTTGCAGCCCTTTCCCCCCGAAAATCAGCTCATTAAGAGCTGATCACCCCAACAGCTCTCCTGCCACCTTGTGCCGGCACAGGCGAGGCTGGCACAGGGCTGCGGGCTGGGGAACAGCCCTGGCTCACCCCATCCCCTCCCCAGGGCTCTGGGGGCTGGTGAACAACGCCGGCATCGCCATCCCCACGGCCCCGAACGAGTGGCTGAGCAAGGAGGACTTTGTCAAGGTGCTGAACGTCAACCTGGTGGGGCTGGTGGAGGTGACGCTGAGCCTGCTGCCGCTGCTGCGGCGGGCGCGGGGCCGCGTGGTCAACGTGGCCAGCGTGATGGGCCGCGTGTCCTGCTTCGGGGGAGGCTACTGCATCTCCAAATTCGGCGTGGAAGCCTTTTCTGACAGCCTCAGGTACGGCTGCTGCAGCCCCCGGAGCTCTCCCGGTGTCGGGTCGCTCTCCTCGGGCAGGGTTTTATTTTTATTTTATTTTTATTCCTGGTTACATTTTCCCCGGGGAGGTTGTGAAATGCTGACCGCAAGCGGGCTGGGAGCGTGGGCAGGGCTGGAGCCGTGGGTGTGCAAGCAGGGGAAGGG